TTTTATAATTGATAAGAAACAAAATAACTCAGAACTAGAACATATAAAGAATGGAAAAGTGATGGCTTTTGGTGGTGGTGGTTTGCCTTTTTCTTGTGTGGGGTCTCTTTTTTTTTTGCACAATGGTTGGAGAGCAATTGCTCCTCCCCAACGTTTCATCACAGTGAACCATGGAGCGTGTCCTGGGGAAGGGAAAGGGAAGGGCAAGAAGCAAGCAGGGTTAACAACTGACACCAGAGGCACCCATAGCACAAGGCAAAGGGCCCAGTAGCATTCTGCACTCCCACAGTCCAGTGAATTCACAATCTCAGCTGGAAAGTTGGGGGTTGTTTTTATATATATATTTATATATATACCATGGCAATGAAAAGGAGGAGGGGGGGGGAAAGGCTAAGCAACAAAGGAAAGCTCAAGATGAGGCTGCTTTAAGTTGGCAGAACGTAAGAAGTAAGCAAGGTGCTGAAGAGATGAGGCATATCCCCGTTAACTTGTGAAATAAAAGCAATCTTGTTAAAATAGGAAATCAACTACTCTGTGGACAGAGACATGAGACTCCAGGGTAACACTGAGCACGTGCCACTCCACAGGTCAGACAATTTGCAATCATTACATCATCAAAAAAAATTAAAAAAAAAAAAAAAAAGGGAAAAAAAACCCCAAGGAATTAAAACTTTTGTGGTTTTCCTGTCATCTGGAAACTTTCTTGTTTTGTCTTTTCTTCCCAACGAAGCCTCTCGAAGGGGCCGAGAGCAGAGCGGGGTCAAACCAGGTTGTATTCCTTCAGGTTGAGCTGTAGGATGGTGTCCTTGACAGCTGCGAAGACGAAACGGATGTTTTCCGTGTCTGTGGCACATGTGAAGTGGGAATAGATGATTTTATCACTGTCGGGATTTAAATCCACAAACATCTTGAGAATGAACTCCCGGGCTGCCTGCGCATCCCTCTGCGGGCCTGCGGCGAACAGAGACACCAGTTACCCAGCGACCCAGCAACCCCGCGCTGGCGTGGGCTGGAAGGGACCTGAAAGTCCCAAAGGAGCCACTTCCAACCCCCTGTCACGGGCAGGGACACTTTCCACTAGAACAGGTTGCTCCAAGCTCCATCCAAGCTGGCCTTGAACACTGCCAGGGATGGGGCAGCCCCAGCTTCTCTGCGCAACCCGTTCCAGTGTCCCACCACCTTCCCAGGGAAGAGCTTCCTGCCTAAGAACTCACCTCAATCTCCCCTGTAAGTACCTAAAGCTCTGAACAGATGTTACCAGCCAGCTTTAAATGCACCCAAACTGAAAAGCCTGAAGCATGATTTGGGCTGAGGAGTTGTGTCTCCAAGAGCAGTGCCTCTGTTTCACACCACCCCGGCTGACCACAGCTGCAGATGACACAGAGGCAGAACTCACTCTGAGATCTGCAGCACCATCATGTGAACAAGTTGGGTATTGGACCAGGTCGTTTCTTAAAACAAGGAGTTAAGTCACCTCCTGACTACAGGATTGAAGTGCCCAGGGCCAGTGAATGGGGTCTATGAGCTGGGTTTCTGCACAAGCACAGAGGTAGGAAAGCCAGACTTCCATAACACCCTGAAGTGCATCCTGAGGGCAGGAGGAGCAATTCTTCATCTAGAAGAGGCTCATTCCATCAGATTCCAGTTACTTCCAGATGATTAAGACACTTTGGTGCCATCTTCTTGCTGTAGCTATTCCTTCCCCAGTTCAGATGTTTTGCCCATCTCTAGAGCTGAGATTTCCTTCCAAACCAAATACAAATCTGACCAAATCACCTCCAACCCCTTCTTCTAGATCAGAATGTTCCTCCTCGAGAACCACTCACCATCAAACTCCGGGAAATAGTCGACAAGGTGGGAATATAGGATCTTGTCTTCCAACAGATCTTTCTTGTTGAGAAAGAGGATAACAGAAGAGTTTTGGAACCATGGGTAAGTGATAATGGTTCGAAAGAGGGCTTTACTCTCTTCCATCCGGTTCTGAAAGAGAGAAGAGAAAGCCTTGTTTCCACAAAGGAGTACACGGAGATGCTTTTCTGCTGCCTGCACTCAGATCCGTAGCAATCCAGGATCTTGGATACTGGATGCAGAATCCTTTGGCCCCAGCTAGGTTCTGGCTCGAGCTGCACCAGTAAATGGAAAGGAAATGCAAGGTCTGATGAACTCCAGCTTCATTTAACTGGCAAACCCTTGAGATCAAAAGCCTTAAGAGTCATTTTATGCTGTGAGAGTCATGTGAGAGGACTCTGTGAACATGCTTTGTCTATAGAAAAGGAATAACTGCTGTTACCTAATGGCATTTTTTTAGTCTCTTAGCAAGTATAAAGATTCAGTGTTGCACCTTCAAAGAGAGCAGGCACTATCTAAAAAGACAGCAGTCACAGCACGGAGTCATTCGCTGTGGAAAGGAGGAATGGGGGGGGTTTAGAGCATTCCCAGGCACACAGAACTCAGCAATTACACAGTATTTGAGGATTACTTGAGAAGTCCTGATGATCCAAATGCTCCACACATTCTCCATCCTCCGGGACATCATGCCCCATCGAGGCTCATGTTCCCTTTGCAACAGGATGAACTGAAGGCCAAAACCAGCAATAGATGCTAATCCAACTTTGGTACCAGCCTCCAGAAGCTAAAGACATTCCTCCT